TTCTGAGTAACGGCTCAAATGTGGTAAGATTTTCGCAAATGAAACTCTAAATAAACCGAATTCATCGAAAGCATACATATCAATTGCCTCCTTGAGAAAACCAGATATCGCGCACGATACTTTGGACTTCTTTGGATGATTGCAACAAAGCTACATTCAGTTCCATCCCCGTGTGTAGTTTGTCTTTATTTGAGGTACCAGAGGTAATTTCTCGAGTCTCCGTTAGTTCCCTTGCTTGAGCTTCTAACTGTAGTTGATTCAATCCGTCTAGGGCAATTTCTAGAGCCTCAGTTGATACTTTTGTTTGAGCTTCTTGCTGTGGCTCATTCGAAAATTCCAGAGGCAATTGCTCACAAATTCCTGTTAACTCTATCGTTTGGACTTCTAACTCTGGCTCATTTAAAGATTCTAGAGATAACCTCTCACGAATCTCTCTTGATTCCCTTCTTTGAACTTCTAACTGTGGTTGCTTCAAAGCATTTGGAGGGAATTGTTGCTGAGCGTCAGTTAGTGTTACTGTCCGGATTTCCAACGATGAGTGATTCGGAGTTCTTGTCGTTTCCATCCTAACTTCTGATTGTGACTGACTCGAAGTTTCTTTTCGATATAATCCGACGTACAAACGACCATACCTTGACCTTTAATCTTGAGAAATGCATTCCCACAACAGGTTTCCAAAGAATATTAGAGAACTTTTTCTTCGTAGGCCTACGAGGATGGCGGGCGCGTAGCAGGAGGAGATAGTATGTATCATTTAGAGAAATGTATAAGAGGTATGCAGCTACCTCTTGCCTTAGGTACTCAACGATGCCTAATTCTATGCAGAATATATTCAGCAGGTTTCCATCTTAATATGACTTGTCAAAATGGATTTGACCGACCAATTGCTGCATCGTCTTTACTCCGCCTTGGTTGCATGCATATGCAAGCTCAGCTAGAGACCGTACCATAGACAGATCACCGATTAACATCAGCTCCTGTCACACAGCTATAAGTACCAAACAACTGGGTTTTGACACGAAGATGTTCAGAAAAGAGGGGAAACCCCCAAGTAGACCTACCTCCTTACACTGGTTAGGTACCGTCACGTCGCAGAGCATAAGGTAGGGAAATAACTCCTTTATTCCCAAAGAGTTTCAAGTGAGGCTCCTGACAGGTAGGTTGGGTAGATGAACATAGAGCGAGGCTCTAAAGGAGGCTTCTTATTAATCATCTCTTACCGTAATACGTGGAGGTTTGGGAAAGTTATGCAGTTGATTATGTAGACTGCTCAGCCTTTTATGATAGACTCCATATTACTTGTTGACCTGTTACAAGTTCAGCCACGAGTTCTTGTGCTTCTAATTACTTCAGCCTAACGTCAAGCGCCTACTACTACACAACCCAGATATCGCGCCCAATCCCATACCCAGTAGATATCCATGATAGAAGCGGCGGCTCTGCTGTGACAAGGTTTCCAATACTTCTCTCGAATTTTTCGTCATCGGGTGTAGGACCGGTACCCGGCTCATGCTCATCCACTATCCCGCCCTTGTAAGTTCCATTGCCAGCCTATATTCGATCGCCCTAGATGGTACCTTGATGTCAGCTCGTGAGCGCAGGGTAAGGGTAGCTTTGACGATGGCGTTCCAAGCTTATATTGCTATAATTCGATAGTTCGCTTAGTTTTCCAGGTGACCACAATGCGAGAATCGAGACGGGAGAGTCTCGTATGGCTGGCCACATCTGCTCGTCTTAAAGGGACGGGCAACACCACTCCTATGGTTAAATGGGGACATAGGTTATGCTTTAATATTTGACTATCTACCTACCTCCTAGGTACCTAAGTAGGCAGTCCACTTAGGTGAATTAATTCCATATCATACGCCATATCCTCGGATTTCCCCCGCTGCGGATCCTTCAGCCTCAGAATGGAAAACTGTCAGAGTAGGCGAATGATCGAGACTGTATGATAAAATTAGAATCGCAGCATAATAATTACGCTATTAAGATGTGGGACACATCCGAGCTCGTCAACGCTGGAAGTATTACTGCCCCAGTCCACCCTCGCAAATATTCGGCCCTCCCTTTTCCAACTCCTACTTTTTCCGGAGTGTATTTCAGTAAAGGAGCAGTATTGTAACAGTATAAGGGGCGTCTCCATCACAGGGGGTGTAGAAATAGATGGTTTCGGTACCGGTCGACTTCCCGCGAACCATACAGGCAACGTCACGGTTCAGCAATAGGAATTTCGATATGAAATGCGAGTAGTCCACGGCTGCTCCTGATATTTGTCATGCTGCCATCTGCTTGGGTTCAAGGATTTCGGGGGCTCCCAGGGAGCTTCGCCGGAAGTAGTGCATTTAGGAGTTTATGACTCGGTGAACCGGCAAGGGGTTTGACTTGCTAAGGGGGCATAGAGCACATAAACACTCTGGCGTTGTGGCTGCGAGGCTTTATGCCCGGCCCGTATGTCATGAGTACCTAACGTCTCAGGGAACATGTCGAAGTGCGACGTGTCAGGACCCCACCCAACATCTACAAGCATTTCAGGCACTACGTCAAGCAGCAGATTTTGAACAGCCTTACAAATTGTGAAGCACTGTATTATCTGCTTGTCTGGATTTCTCTGGTAGTAGCCCGTGCCCGAGTAAGCGTTGTACATAATGGCCCGGTGTGAAATCTGGTTCTACGTCCTCTGAGCGGCCGCTCATCAAGTCACAATAGTCGGGAGCGACAAAAGGGGTAGTTCCGCACTAGACATTCAACACACCAAACGACTTCGTAACGTTATGCCAATGAAAAATCTCAGGTGCTTCTCTCCGCCCCTAAGCCAAGGCCACAAGTCGTCTTCGACGCGGTAGCACCAGGGGAACGTAGGCTATCTGACGTATAGTATCGTTTTAGTAAAGGGCATTTCCCGCATGAGCAACAGGAGACCATTGCAGGTGGCAGCAACGCACAGCGTAATGCGACATTCTTTAACCGTCAATTGAGTCGAACATCGCCACCAATCTTCAGCCACGTACAGTAGTGACCTAGTGCCATTTTCTAAGTCATGTTATTGTCCTGCAGATTGGTGACTTGGTAACGATACAGTCAGCCCACTCTGTTCAGGCGGGATGAGAAACACTGTCAAATTCTTCAGCTGTGCTAAAATTTGATATTATTAACTATACGAATAGTGACAAATATGTTTCTATTGCAGGGGCCAGCTTAACTCTTTGCGCACATTAGGTGTCTTCTGTTTCGATTCACAAATAAGCTTACGTTCTTGATCCTAGGCTAGTTGAACATATGCATCATTAGCTCTGTACCAAGCAGCCATTGACGATCCTTGCTATAGCATTTCCATACATAGCCTCTTCTGGGAGTTGACCGTCTTTCAACTAGTATAGCCAAGCAACATACGTGTTGAAGAAGCTCAATCGTGTTGACAGATGTAACGTACCAGTATTCGCTTTTACTGATCCTTCTGTCCAAGGTATAGATCAGAATACGGGACTAAAAATACAACATAAGACTAGTACGAGGCGGCTGCTTATGGCTGCCGATTTGCGGCTGACGCCCCGTCGTGTTGTGCTAGCGACGTACAGTCGGCCAATGGGATGGCGACGGGAGTCTCAAAGGGGTAACTTGGCGGCGACGATCCCCGAACTGCGCCTCGACCAGATCTCTTGCCAGCAAGTCTACTGTGGAGATCCTAATGACGTTCCTAGCTGCTTACCTAGTTGAAGAATCGCGAAGGCGTAGAAGTCGATGAGGATAAGTAGAAGTTTGTCTGCTGTCGAAATATCGTTTTCATCATCATTAGCATCATCAACATCAACAACACTCTTGCAACAGCCATTTACTCTATACCACCGACCAAACAATCTCTCATCTCATACTTTAAACAACTTCCTACCCCAACCATCAAAATGAAGTCCTTCGCTATCGCCACCGTCGTCGCCGCCCTCGCCTCTTCGGCGTCGGCTCTCCCCAAGCAGCCCGCCGCCGCCAGGGTCAACCTAATCGCGATCAACCACCCGGTCAGCGGCGCGCACTCGCAGCAGCTGGTGCCAGTGGATATCGCGACCCTAACACACAAGGACAACCTGCCGATTACGGGCTTCTCCATCGACAGCATCTCGGTAACGGTGCCGCCAGCCCCGGGTCAGCCCGCCATCACCAAGGACGACATCGTCTGCCAGCGGTACCAGGACCAGTGGGGCACGCAGCGCGGCAGCGCGGCCTTCACCAGCGACAAGGACGCCTTGGTCAGCACCAACTCGGTCGACTTCGGCTACGTCCTCTGCTACGTCAAGCCCACCGCCTAATTTGGCCGAAGCCAAAAGGGGGAAGACGAGCAGATATGAGAGCCTCTTGGGATTTATGATAGATGGAAGGGTAATAGGTTATTGGCATCTGCGTCTGCACCTTCATCTGCATTTGGTTTTAGCGAAGCACGTTCCTTAAATTTGCATTTGCATACATAGTACATACACCACATAGACAACGGTTGATTTCGAGGGCTCGGGCCTTTGCATAATACATACTTATATATATATATTCAGTCCTCTCTAATAATTTCTCTCAGCTTTCCCGTGATGTAATACTCTCAAGGCTGCACGATAATTCCATCGCGTTGATTATAGCGATTACATCATGAAGCTGCGCATCTTCAACTAGAAAGTTCCCTTTCCTTACCAATGTCACAAAGACCATGTCCCGGTTCAGAACAGGCTCTGATTTGGCCTCTCACAGCAACGCTAGAACATAAGCAGTGACTCTGCTTGATGCATGCTTAGATGTATATATCCCAGAAGGTTAAAAATATTCAAGCTAAAATTCAGGGTTGAGTTCGGGTGATGCACATTCCAAGATATGTCTGTAGAAACTCTTATTGTAGCGAGATTCCGGTATGTAGGTGTGTGCAAAATGTGGAGTGTGTGGATACAAGCTTACTTGGGTACTTAGACACCAATAACAACTGAACAAATCACAGTGAGCATAGAAGTTCTTGGCTCTCAAATAGAATAGTCTTGGTGGCGCAGTTGGCTAGCGCGTTGGTCTCATATCATTGATATGATCCAACCCCAGGTTGGGCTATCCAAAGGTCGTGAGTTCAAGCCTCACCCAGGACATGACTTTTTTATTTTCTTAATATTCGTCTTAATATTTTTATTCTTCGCAGGCTTTTACTTTTTGTCCCATTTACACAGTTCGAACGATTAAACTTCAACTGTTAAGTAATATCAATTATTAGCTGTAGTATGATGTCCAACTCAACATCATTTGCAATATCGTAAAAGGCGTAGTGGCACGACTTTTGAGCGGCACGGGAGCATTCCAGTTGAGCGGTGATTGGTCAATAGCATGCCGTTTATTTACCTTGTAGTTGTAATGAGTTGCGCATCTCGTTCTTCTCATCCATTAGGTCGGCACCTATATGTGAAATGAATACTACCTAGGTACTCATTCTATCAAGCGTACTCGGGTAGAGTAGTTACAAGATGGGCGACATCACGACCGTCAAGCCTACAAACGGCAATGATCCAGGGGAACCGCCTCCTATGAAGGAGCAGACATTGGAGTCGCTCAATGTCCCAGAGCCTCCCAAAGTCCGCACGAAACTGCGTACTTATACCCTCTTAGTCGCACTCTACGTATAGACCCCACCCCCTCCCCCCTTTTCCACATCCAAGAAGAGTGCCCAGCGACAACATACTAATAATACCCAACCCCAACTTAGCTCACTCTTTTCGTCGCGGCGCTAGACCAGACCATCGTAGCAACCGCCATCCCCTCCATCTCCGCAGCCCTTCGCTCCGCCTCCGGCTACGTCTGGATCGGCGGCGCGTACGTGCTCGCGAACGTCGCCGCGGGGCCCATCTGGGCGAAGTGCAGCGACATCTGGGGGCGCAAGCCGGCGCTGCTCGGCGCCGTCGGCGTCTTCGCCCTCGCCAGCGTCCTCGCGGCCCTGAGCACCAGCATGTCGATGCTGATCGGCGCGCGCGCGCTCCAGGGCGCCGCGGGCGGCGGCTTGCTCCAGCTCGTGGCGATCACCATCTCCGACCTGTTCGACATGCGCCGCCGCGCCTTGTACCTCGGCTTCCTGGGCGTCGCGTGGGCGCTCGCCGGGTGCGCGGGCCCGCTGGTCGGCGGCGCGTTCACGCAGCAAGTTAGCTGGCGCTGGTGCTTCTGGGTTAACTTGCCGGTGTGCGGGGCGTCTTTCGTGCTCCTGCTGCTCTTTCTGGACGTGCATGATCCCCATACCAAGCTGCGCGAGGGCCTCGCGGCGATCGACTGGTTCGGCACGTTTTCGATCTTGGGGGTAACCCTTCTACTTCTCTTGGGCTTGGACTTCGGCGGCGCGATATTCCCCTGGGACAGCCCGAAGGTGATCTGCCTGATCGCGTTCGGGGCCGCGATGATCGGCCTCTTCGTCTTCAGCGAGCAGCGCCTGGCTAGGTACCCGCTGATCCCGCTGGGCATGTTCAGGGACTGGTCTAACGCGGCGACTTTTCTCCTCGCGTTCGCGCACAGCATGGTCGCTATCGGCGCGGAGTATTACCTACCGCTGTACTTCCAGAGCGCGAAGCAAGCGTCGCCCGTACAGAGCGGTCTGTTCATACTCCCGATGATGATAACAGAATCGGCCGTGGACGTCCTGGTCGGAGTTTTAATCCATCGCACGGGCCGGTACCGGGAAATTATCTGGGCCGGCGCGACGCTTATGACGTTGGGGACAGGGCTGTATATCAATTTCCGGTCGGATACTTCACTCGGGGAAATCATCGGGTTCCAGATTATCAACGGCATCGGCACTGCGCTGCTATTCCAAGCACCCATGATCGCGATCCAGAATACCGTCAGCCAGGCCGATACCGCGTCGGCCACATCGGCCTTAGGATTCATCCGCAACCTAGCGACGTCGCTTTCTATCGTGGTGGGCGGCGTGGTTTTCCAGAACAGCATGAACAACCGCCAGTCCTCTCTCGTAACGGCTGGTCTCGACGGACACATCCTCGAGGCTTTGTCCGGCAACCAAGCAGCGGCTAACGTCGAAATCGTCCAGTCTATTCAAGATCCAACGCAGCGCCAAGTGGTGCTAGATGCATTTTCGTGGAGCATAAGGAATATGTTCATACTTTATACCGCCGTGTCGGCTCTTACGGTCGTGGCGAGCGTCTTCATTAAACACCGGCAGCTGAGAACGGAACATACGGAGACTAAGACAGGTATTCCGGAGCTGACAGAGCGGAAGAGTTGAGTACTGAAGTGAAAGTAGCTTATTGGGTCATAAGCTATCCGTAGTGTGAACCATCGAGCTATGTATTCGTTACTTAGCTCACTTGTGTCATCTGCTACTCGGTGCTAATCTTGACATGTTGGGCCTCGGACATTCCTTTCCAGCCTAGTTGGCCTATTTAAAGGGCGATCAGTTGTTTTCGTATACCCCCAACGCTACAAGCAGTCCTAGATGGATAGCGCTGATTTCCATAGCCCATGTTGTAGTTTATCTATCTCGCCTAGCCTTTGAGGTTCCAACCATAGACTTTCTATGCTAATAGCCTAAATAGGCATCGCCATAACTTGACGGCTGGGGTTACACCCTCTTCAGTCCATATATTTCTGGAGAGCAGTCTATGTCTCTCTTGACGGTCAAGCTGGCATAGAGTGGCTAAAATGACGGGATAAGGAAGTGTTTATATTCGTATAAGAAGCTAGCATTAGGGGTAGGTAGTGATCGATACTCTTTGGCTTTACCACTCGCAGTTAATTGTATTTAACGTTTTCCACTTGAGGTTTTCCGCAATCACTTCACGCAACTTCATCGGAAAAGTCACTCCCAAAGCGACGGCATCCAGCAATGAATTTCGGCCTGTACTTGATCTTATACACTAAAGGCCGACGGATTCAAAACATTTCGTAAACATAAGACTTTATCCGCTTTGGCTAACCCCATTTCTCTCTCAACCAAAATGAAGCAAGATGCTGGAAATCGCTCCTAGATTAGTCGACTTCCTGCTGTTTCGTCGGAACTTAATACCTCATCAGAACTCATTGGTAGTCAGGCTCTATATCGCTATAGTAGAATTCTTTAACACTTCCAAGTGTCTTGAACATTTTCGGGCGCTGCATACTGTCGATGCTATTGGGGCCGAAACGAGTGTCAAGCACATGTGATCTCCAAGCCATGTCGCCTTCGGTAACAACGTCAGTACATAATTAATAGACTCGAGGTTCGACCAGATCAAATCAGATCAAGAGATTCTAGTTTCCGAGAGAAAGAGAAAGAGAGAAATTTCATCTGTTTGTCTCACTTACCTGGAGAACCCTTAGTTCCCATGTCCTGCCATGCGAACACCATAACAGACTCGGTGCCAAACTTGATCCAGATATCGGTAGCGCAGTGCGTACAGCCTCATGCGTATGTTGTAAAGATGATCCCGAGAGAAACAATCCGGGCTAAATTTATCTGAGTTACCCGGACATTCGGCGTGACTGTCAAGTCGGCAGAAATTATTGTGTGTGGGCATAACCTCATCTCTCCTACTGTTACCAACGATATATCGACGGATTTTCTCCGATATTCCCAACTAGACTTTAGCAGGTACCTGAAATTTCCATCGCGATCCTTCATAATTTTAGGACTAGCGGCGTACGTAACATTCAGCACGTTCTCTCGGTCGAATGGGAAAGGATGGGTGCGAAAGTTGTTGTCCTGATGCGTCGCTAGGAGAGCGTCGTAATAATGTTCGTACCCGGGGTCCCGGTTCCGTAGGCGCATGTGCTTGAGAGTGAGCTGGACGTGGCGGTGGTCGACCTGGAGGCAACGGTCGTCGAGTCGGGATCGCCGGCCGTACACCTCCTTGCACCACCAATCCCATGGTATGGGACACGACAGTTTCCATGGGGTTGCGGGCGTATCGTCGAAAGAAACAGGGTGCAACTTGAAACAGGCTTCGCATACTCACCTGTCTCGAAAGTCGCGAGCGATCCTCGTGAGAAATCTAAGGTATTGCCCGGTAGAAAGCTTGTGTACCTCCAATGTACCCAAGATGGATCGTAGCGAGCGACATATCATCGCAAGTACAGCTCTATCGACCCCCGGAAGTTCATTCGATACTAAGCAAATCAATTCAATGGGAAGATCAAGAAGATCATTACTAGTGTTTAGTTGCCGCATCCTCCTGATTCACTGGCCGCCTTGTCCAAGATATAATGTTAAGCGAATGTTGTATATGAATCCAAGAAATCTCCGGTCCCGATAAAGGGCATTTCTGCGAGTACAAGGGGACCGAATATAGTAAGGGTCAGGATGTAATCCGCGTTGACATAATAGTGAAGTTGAAAGTCCTGCTACTGCGACTTAAGACGTCTGTTGTGTTATATTTCGTACTTGTCTTCACCACACCTTCTACACATCTACTACACATCGATGCTCACAGGTAATGGGCGCATGGTACTTGCTCGATATACTTCATCGTGCGGTTTGGCCATTGCTCTTCACCTACCATATGTACACCTACTAAACCTAAGTTATCTGAAGAAATAAGGTACGTACGCACTTTCTTCCTTTTTTTTTCTCCGTTTAAATAGCTGAGATCAGGAGTGGTGTTGAGGCTGACATCATTGCCATTGGTCTAGAGATGAATGGACTGAATTCGATATGCTGTTTGGCTTAAGGTATAAATATTCTGAAATTATGAGGCTTATTCGCTCAAGTCGGTATCTAGTTCCCACTCGACCAGATTTTTGCAATTCACTTTAACGTGGTGGTGAACTGAAAGGATGCTAGTGAGTATCGGTGGCCGGAATTGAATAGTAATATGTGCAAAATAAATTACCCGCAATGTTGAAATAGTGTCATCGGCTTACGGTTGCGAGTGGGTAACAGCATGCGGCAGCGATACTAATAAATTACCAGGGTAATGGTTTTCGTGGGCTGTGGATGCATCTTCTAGAATTGGGGCCCTTAAGCAAGTGATATATTGACGCCAATGAGATCGTCGTTCCTTGATATTAAGATGTACTAGTTGAACCACGGCGTGTGGGACATTGAGGCAGCCCGTGAGCAGCCCCGCTAATTTGCTATGATAATATTTACTTGCATGTAGTATAGGTCAATACTGTGTAG